CATGTACATGTGAACACACACACATACAGAGAAAGAGAGAGAGAGAGAGAGAGAGAGAGAGAGAGAGAGAGAGAGAGAGAGAGAACAAAACCCCACAACATTACAGTTCTTCCAGATTTAACCTATGTCCTTGGTCTTACTTTGAAGTGACTCCAACTAGGCCTCTTCTTCAAACTCCTCAAAAGTCAGGGGTTTTAGTTTGTTTGTTTGGATGGCCTGATTTTCATTTTTGAGACAGGTTTTCACTATGTAGACCAGGCTAGTCTTGAACTCACAGAAATCTGCTAGCTTTAAATTAAAGGTATGAACCACAGATACCTGGCTCAAACTTCCCAGAAGTCAGTGCACCACCACCCCCGCCCCGCCCCCAGAGAAGGCAAGAGGACTTGAGCACTAGGCAGTTTATTGGGAAATTTAGCTACAGAGCCAAGAACTCACTGATTTTTCTGGTTTGTGACAGAGCCTAGCCACATCTTGAACCTCATGCCTCAGGGTAGTGTTCCTGAGTGGAGTGAAAAGGGTCCTGTTCCAGTCCGTCATTTCCCTTGTAGCAAGCTGCTGTCTGGGGGACGAGGGCTGCGCTGGGATGCTGTGGAAGGATGGGCTGCGAGGTTTCTCAGCTTGCTGACTCTCTCCCTAGAAGTCTCCAGTCACAGGGAAGCCATCCTGCCTCCTCAGTCCTAAGACCGAAGAACCAATTTATCTGAGCATATCAAATGATTCTGTCTGCCCTTTGACTGGGGACTGTGACTAACAGCAGGGCAGGCCCGCCCTCAATTACCTGAAGTCCCTTATCTTTAGTTCTCCTTGTGACACATCATCCTCACTTGTACACAACACAAGGTTAAAGTAACTGCCCACTCGGTGTTCTTCCAATAAATGAATGAACAATATATGCACGCCATCCATCAAGAAGGGGAAGGGGCTTTACAGGTAAATAATGGCAGGGATGGATTGGGGATGTAACTCAACAGTAGTGTTTGCCTAGCTAGCATACAAACCCAGGCTAGATCTCCACCACCCAAAAATATTAATGATGAAGATGATGGTGATGATGTTAAGGATGGTGGTAGGATTTGAGTTCTTTTCTTGTTGATTTAATGTTATCGTGTGTGTGTGTGTGTGTGTGTGTGTGTGTGTGTGTGTGTGTGTGTGTGTGTGTGTAGTAAGTCAGTAAGTCCAAGGCCAACCTGGGCCACATGAAACCCTGCCTTTAAAAAAAGAAGTCAGCCAGGCATGATGGCACATGCCTTTAAATCACCAGGCAGATCTCTGTGGTTTGAGACCAGCCTGGTCTACAAAGCAAGTTCCAGGACAGCTAGGGCTGTTACACAGAGAAACCTTGTCTCAGAAAAAAAAAAAAAAAAAAAAAAGTCAAGGAGATAAAAACATCCAAGAATAATACCAATTCTTGATATGACCAGTTCAGCTGGCTTGGCTGCTTAAATGGCATGGTGACAAAACCAAAAGAACCCACAAATCTGATGTAAGAACCCATCACAGTGGATGGCGGTGGTGGTGTACCCTTTAATCCCACACTTGGGAGGCAGAAGCAGCTGATCTCTGAGTTCGAGGCCAGCCTCGTCTACAGAGTTAGTTCCAGGACAGCCAGGGCTACACAGAGAAACCCTGCCTTGAAAAACCCAAACAGAACCCATTACCCACTTCCACACACACAAATTCTGGCAAGCTGTGAATACTAGCTAAGAATCCAGGTGGCTTGCTACAGCCTCTCCTTCTCACTGAAGACCAACCAAGTTAACTCACAAAGAACACTGAGAAAGGACAGCCCACTCACAAGTGACACCAGAGAGCCATGCTCTGAGGCCTGTCCACAGCCAGAAGAAATCCCATCTCTTCCCTCGTCTAGAAAAAGCAACAGCTTGGTCTCTTGCTTATTAAAAAACCAAGACTACATGAAGCTTCCAGACTTGGCCTCCGAGCATGACTCTGGACTCAGGACACCGATGGTCCTCGGGGCCTCAGATTTCAATCGTTCTTAGAACAAAGTTAAATTACCTGC